CAGAAATACCAACAGTGTTAGCACGTTCATGTAGGACAGGCTTTCTGTGAGCATGCATGGTCCTGTGCCTGCTGTCTGGCTATGGAAAGGAGCTGCAGTGTGATGTGGGAGCAAAGGGAGACAGAGCAGAATTTTATATTTGAGCAGAGAAGGCAATTTGCAAAGCAAGGTCAGTGCTGTGCACTGGGAGAAGATCCTGAATAAGCACAGGGGCAAATATCTCCTGCCTAAGGGCAGTGTTGGTGGCAGAGCCACTCTTGTTGGGAAATAGTTTGTGAGAAAGGATTTTGCAAATCTCATAGGAACTATTTGCTTTGTCCTTCACCATTTATTTTATGCCCCGTCGTGATTTACAAATGTCGGCCTTTGCTGAGGGTGACTGTTTCTATTCTCTCTGAGCTGAGGGGTTTCTGTAAAGCAGGCTGTGACTGTGGCAATCTGGAAGCTCTGGTACTGACAAGCTCACCTTTGGGCATGGCAGCAGACTTTCTGTGAGACCCAGTGAGTAGCTCTTAGTTACCTGCACGTGTTAAACTGAGCTGCTGAGGTGGGGCAGGCGGTCATGAAGGTGAAGCTCAGCCTGTCCCAAAGGAACATTTCTGTGCTCCCAGAAGGTCCCTGTGCAGTTCCTAGCAGTGCATTCCTGAGGTCACAGTGCCTGCTCACAGCTCCCCGCTGCTGCTGCTGCCTGTGCTTCTTGTTGTGCAGCTGTAAAGCTTCTTTTCCTCAAGATGTTGATCTGTGCCTGTATCATCAGGACTGTGCACCACAGAATGGGGACAGGTGCTGCTTCCCAGGTGCCTGAGGGGCCTTTTTGTTAGGAAAGGAAATGCTGTGTGATTCCAGCTACATCTCCAAGCCGAGCTTTGGCTCAGGAACGAGACTCATCGTTCAGCCACGTGAGTGCAAGGCAGTTTCTGTAGGTCTTCCATAGGGCTCCTAGCGATAGATCTCGTGCTCTCTTCCTCTTTTCCATCTCAGAATTGCATTGCTCGAATTTCTAATCTGCCATTGAAGACCCTGACAGTGCCCATGCTGTGGAAGGTAAGGATGCCTTGTGAGCAGAGCAGAACTGGAAGTCTGAATGCTTTTGGGAAAGGTTTCCGGTGTTCTTGGACTGTTCTCTGCACTCACAGTGGTATTCTCATAACTCATCAGGGAGTTGCATTTGTGATGGCAATGTAGAGGACACTTTGGATGGAGTGTGGGGACAGGAGAAGGAGGAGAGTGTTTGGCAGTACCCCTCAGTTTCAGCCCAATCTCACCCCATGCAACCAGCCTGATATCTTCCACTCTTGCTTTGGGATGAGAAAGTACCTCCTCATCTTCTGCTGCCCCTCCATGACCTGGCATGGTCAGACTGATCCCTGAGGACCAGTGTTGGTTCTCAAGCATCTGGGTGGGTTTTTTGTTAAGGAAAGCAATGCTGTGTGAATACAGGATCTGGTTTCACAAAGCTAACCTTTGGCACAGGGACCAGACTTTCTGTACAACCACGTGAGTGTGCATCTTCCAAAAGTCTTCCATATGTGCTTCTCCAAACTGATGTAGTTTCATGTTCCACTTACTGATTTTGTGTTTGTTGTGCTGAAAGGCATTCCAGCCACCACAGGTATCGAGAATGCCCTCACTGCTAAAATTAAGGATGTGCTGTGAGCAGAGCTGTGAGTGCTGTAGGAGGGAATGCATGTGGGATAGGGCCATCTGTACTCTTGATCTCTGCTGTGTCACACTGGTATACTCATATCTGGCCAGGGATTTGCCTATCTGATGACAGCATCTGGGACAGCATGGAATGGCTGTGATGTGAGAAGAAAATTTGGGAGTGCGCCTCAGTTACAGCTCCAGCCTCATCCCATACAACCAGCATGGTAACTTCCACTCTTGCTTTGGGATGGGAGGGACGCCCTTACCATTCTGCAGATTCCCCATGATTTAGCATAGTCAGACTAAGCCCTGGGGATCAGTGTTTGTTCTCAAGTGTCTGGTTGGGTTTTTTGTTAAGGAAAGCAATGCTGTGTGAATACAGGATCCAGCTATGCAGGCATTAAATTTGGCTCAGGGACCAGACTCTCCGTCCAACCATGTGAGTACACAGCTTCCATAGTTGTTCCATATGCGCCTTTTCCGGTAGTTTTAATTTTGTGTTCCTACATTAGAGACTTGCAGAGCCGAAATCGTTCTCTGCAATTGCAGGCACCAAGAATGCCATCACAGCTGCAGTTAATGTGTTTCTGCGTGGTGGGAGCGGAGCTGAACCGCAGGTCACTGTGCTTTAGGAAAAGGGTCATGAAAGTGTTGTGGGGATCGTGCTCAGCCAGCCACACTCAGGGCTGCCTTGATATGGGGACAGGAGAGTGTTTGTGCAAGGGCTTGTGTTGCTGTGAGTGTAGGCTGGGGCACCTTCACCTTTGGAGCTGGAACAAAGCTTTGTGTAAAGCCCTGTGAGTGCTGCTGCTGGTATTTGAATCCTTCATCAGGATGCAGATGTACCCAGGGCTATAATCTTAGTCTGTTCGTTATGGAAAAGCTTTCTCAGAGCATGTCTACTCCTATCTTCTGTACAGTTATGGCAAAAGAGATGCAGTGTAGAATGGGAAGAAGGGGAGACAGCAGAATTTTAAATTGTTTCTGGGAATAAGACTGTTTTCAAATGCAGGTCAGCACTGTGGATTGAGAGAAGAACATTCTTCTCTCCAGGAATGTCCCAGGCAGAACTTGCCACTCCTGAGTGAGCACCAGTGCAAGTATCTCCTGGATAAGGGCAGTGTTGGTTCATGATCTGACATGACTTACAAATGTCAATCTTTCTGAGGTTAATTGTTTCCGTTCTGTGAGCTGAGGGGTTTCTGTAAAGCAGGCTGTGACTGTGGCAATCTGGAAGCTCTGGTTTTGGCAAGCTCACCTTTGGGCATGGCAGCAGACTTTCTGTGAGACCCAGTGAGTAGCTCTTAGTTACCTGCATGTGTTAAACTGAGCTGCTGAGGTGGGGCAGGCGGTCCTTGAGGTGAAGCTCAGCCTGTCCCAAAGGAACATTTCTGTGCTCCCAGAAGGTCCCTGTGCAGTTCCTAGCAGTGCATTCCTGAGGTCACAGTGCCTGCTCACAGCTCCCCGCTGCTACCTGTGCTTCTTGTTGTGCAGCTGTAAAGCCTCTGCAGAGCTGCCTGAAGTGTGGCAGGGGAACAGGAGAGTGAGCTCTCCCCATAAATGGGATTCCCCAAGAACTAGAAGTGAGAGTGCTAAACTGCTGTGGGATTCCTGTGCTCGTAGGAGCAATAACTGTTGTAATTGCTTGTGGTTTGTGACAAAGCTGTGAGAGGTGATTGCTTTTGCTCCATTCTTACAACAGACCCAAACTTGTGTTCACTCTTTAACCTTGGCAGCACTATTGCTTTCAGCTGCATGCAGGTGGGCTCCAGCTGAAGTTTCCTGATGTGTTCCTGAAGTCTATGGCTGCAGCTTGATTGTGTAAAGAACATCCCCAAGCCCGTGGGACATAGCAGGACTTCCCTGGTTCAGCTCCTACAGATTGGTGGTCAGAGAGGAGGCATCCACCAATGACCCACTTGAGCAGAAGACATCTGTCAGACTTTGTCATGTTGCACTTGAAGGTGTCCCTTATCCTCTATAAGCAGATCCCGACTTGTGATGGTGACAGATAATTGTTGGCTCCCGACAGATGGTTTTGCTGGAAGGAGCTGTTCTGTTTGAGTTGCTTTGTGCAGGCAGTGGCATGAGAGGTGATGGTTTTTGCTGTGGGGTGACAGGCTGTGTGAGTGCTGGAAACTACAAGGTGGTGCTGGGCACAGGGACGCGCCTGGTTGTGAAGCCCAGTGAGTACAAGTTCTGTCCTGCTTTGTCATTCTGCCGTAGAGGTCAGCACTTTCCGCGTCCCCCAGCGTTCCCTTTCTCCGGTCAGAGCAGGAATGTTCTTGTCTCTGGCAGCCCCCTGAAAGCCCACGGCCTTTCCTGACCTGAGCTCAGCTGGGACCTTCTTTCCCAACTTGAATTACTCTTCCTCAACTAGAATGGGGACAGGTCCTGCCTCAAAAGACCTGGGTGAGCTTTTTGTTAGGGAAGGAAATGCTGTGTGATTATAACTCTGGCACTGAGCTGACCTTTGGCACAGGGACCAGACTCTCCGTCCGACCCCGTGAGTATACAGCTTCCATAGGTTTTCCATATGTATCTTTTCCAATCTATATAATTTTATTTTCCTATTTTGACTACAGAGTTGCGGAGCTGAAATCAATTCAGCACCTTGGCAGGTTTTGAGTATACCCCTTGCTGCTCTATTTAATGTGGTTCCGCACGGTGGGAGCAGATCTAAATTGGAGGTCTGCATGTTTTTGGGAAAAGCTCAGATGAGGTTTGCTGGGAAAGGGCTCAACCAACCACACAAGGGCTGCTTGGTCATGGGGAGAGGAGAGTGTTTGCGTAAGGGCTTGTGTTGCTGTGAGTGATGGCTTGAGCAGGCTGACCTTTGGAGCAGGAACAAAACTTTGTATAAAGCCCTGTGAGTACTGCTGGTGTTGTTTTCAAGCCATGGACGTTGATCAAGAAATACCCAAGATAATAATGTTTCTGTATTGGTTAGCAGAGGCTTCTAGTATGTATGAATGATTGTTTGTCTTCTGTTATGGTTATGGCAAAAGAGATTCAGGGTAGAAGGAGAGACAAAGCAGAATTTTACACTGAGTCAGGACAGAAGACTGTTTTCTAAGGCAGGTCAGTGCTGTGGATTGAGAGAAGAACATTCTTCTCTCCAGGAATGTCCCAGGCAGAACTTGCCACTCCTGAGTGAGCACCAGGGCAAGTATCTCCTGGATAAGGGCACACGGCAGTGCCAATAATTTTTGGGATTGACGTGAGAGGAAGGACCTTGTAGATCTCACAGGAATGCTGACATTTGTTTTTCACCATTTATTTCTTACTCCATCACAAGTTAAAATGTCAACCTCCTATACGGGTGACAGTATTTCTTCTCTCTGAGCTGAGAGGTTTCTGTAAAGCAGGCTGTGACTGTGGCAATTTGGAGGCTCTGGTACTGGCAAGCTCACCTTTGGGCATGGCAGCAGACTTTCTGTGAGACCCAGTGAGTAGCTCTTAGTTACCTGCACGTGTTAAACTGAGCTGCTGAGGTGGGGCAGGCGGTCATGAAGGTGAAGCTCAGCCTGTCCCAAAGGAACATTTCTGTGCTCCCAGAAGGTCCCTGTGCGGTTCCTAGCAGTGCATTCCTGAGGTCACAGTGCCTGCTCACAGCTCCCCGCTGCTGCCTGTGCTTGTTGTTGTGCAGCTGTAAAGCCTCTGCAGAGCTGCCTGAAGTGTGGCAGGGGAACAGGAGAGTGAGCTCTGGGCATGGCAAAGTGCTCTCTGTGAATGCCCAGCTGGGTGCTGGCTGTTTCCTTACCCTGCAGCCCGAGCACTGGATTGGTTTCCCACTTGGTGCTTGTTGCAGGATGATTCCTGTGTGGAACGGTCCAAAGAGCTTGACCAGAAAGGCATCCTAATGTGGAGTCAGAGGCAGAGGGCAGGGGTAACATCTGCTGTCCCTCTGCATTTTTCTGGGGCACCCGGCTCTGTTTCTGGAGTGTAGGGTTGTCTGTAGTATTTGCCATTGGTGTGTCAGGGTGTGAGTTCAGCATCCAGCAGGAAGATGACCTTTGGAGGGGGGACACAACTGGCACTGAGACCTGGTAGGTAGAAAGCCAGCTTGAATGAGAAAGGATAGGAAGGTTGCATTCCCTCCTTTGGTAAATCCAGCTGTACTGCTTTGGAAACTGCTCTCCGCAGGGATGGAGTCTGTGTGTGTCTTTGCTCACGTACGTGTGTGCGTTGGGCTTTGCAGTCAGCTGTTGGTAAGGCACGCTGTGAGCAGTGCGTCCAGGGAAAGGGTCTGATTGTAACACTGATCCAGCTCTGAGCGTGGAACTCCTGAGGCTTTCCCAGGGCTGAGCTCAGCTGGGTTCTTCTTTCCAACTTAAATTGCTCTTCCTCCAGTCATGGTTCTGCGCCTGGTTTGTCTGGAGAGTGCTCCACTGAATGAGAGCACAGGCGCTGCCTCTGAAGCTCCTGTGTGAGCTTTTTGTTAGGGAAGGAAATGCTGTGTGATTCTGGCTACGGCTCCGACAAGCTGACCTTTGGCTCAGGGACCAGGCTTTCTGTTCAACCATGTGAGTGCCCATTTCCTAAAGGTCTTCCATGGGAATTTCTTCAAATAGATGTAGTTTTGTTTTCTTGTTTCTTGGCCTTTTGATTTCATGTTTGTTGGACTGAAAGGCTTTATCTGTCACTACTGGCTTCAAGAATGCCTTCTTTGCCAAAATTACAGATGCGTTGTGAGCAGAGCTGAGCTAAGATATAGTTTAAATATCAGGGGGAAGTTCTTTGCTAAGAGACGGTGAGGTGCTGGAAGAGGCTGCCCTGAGAGGTTCTGGACGCTCCATCCCTGCAGGGGTTCAACACAAGGTTGGAAGGAGCCCTGGGCTGCCGGGTCTGGTATTAGATATGGATGTTGGTGGTCCTGCACGCTGCAGGGCGTTTGGAGCGTGATGATCCTTGAGGGCCCTTCCAGCCCAAGCCATTCTATGGTTCTATGAATCACTGATACTTTCTCAACTTAAACCGTTCCTCCTGAACTCATGGATCAGGGCCTGGATTGTCTCAAGAGTGCACCACAGGATGGGGATAGGTGCTGCCTCTCAAATGCCTGTGTGGGCTTTTTGTTTGGAAAGGAAATACTGTGTGATTCTAACTCCAACGCTGGCAAGCTGAACTTCGGCTCAGGGACCAGACTTTCTGTACAACCATGTGAGTGTGCTTTTTCAAACAGTCTTCCATAGGTGCTTTTTGCAGGAGATGTAATGCAGTGTTAATCCTTTTATTACAGCTTTGTGAGCTGGAACCCTTCTCTGCCATTGCAGGCTGTGAGAATGCTCTTGCTGCAGAAAATAAGTGAGCAGAGCTCCCTTATGTTGTGAGCAGAGCTGAACTGGAGGTCTGAATGCTTTTGGGAAAGGGTACTCAGAGCTCTCAGTCTGTGCTGTGTCTCACTGGCATTCTCACATCTTGTCAGGGATTTGTCTTTGTGATGGCAGCCTCTGGGACAGATGGATGGGGTGGTGATGAGAGGAGGAGGGGAAGAAAGTTGTGGGTGCTCCAACATTACAGCTCCAGCCTCATCCCATGCAACCAGCGTGGTAACTTCCACTTTTGCTTTCGGATGAGAAGGTCCCTGATGACCCTTCTGCTGCCCCTCTGTGACTTGGCATGGTCAGACTAATGCTTGGGGACCAGTGTTTATTCACAAGGGCTGGGTGGGCTTTTTGTTAAGGAAAGCAATGCTGTGTGAATACAGGAGCTGATGTCACAAAGCTAACCTTTGGCACAGGGACCAGACTCTCTGTCCAACCCCGTGAGTATCCAGCATTCATAGGTCTTCCATAGGTGTCTTGTCCAATAGGTGTAATTTGATTCCCATTATGATTTCAGGCTTGCAGATCTCAAATGCCTTCTTTGCCACTGCTGGCTCCAAGAATCCCCTCACTGCTGCAGTTAATGTGTTTGTGTGTGGTGGTAGCAGTGCTGAAATGCAGGTCTAAGCTTTTGGAATGGGCCACACAAATGTTCATTAGGAGGGGCTGGGACAGCCACAAGAAGGGCTGCCTTGTTATGGGCAGAGGGGGTGTTTGTGTAAGGACCTGTGTTGCTGTGAGTGATGGAGCAAGAAGGTTCACCTTTGGGGTTGGAACAAAGCTTTGTGTAAAGCCCTGTGAGTACTGCTGGTGTTAATTTGTACTCTTCTGCGGTAACACAGAAAGACAGAATGACAATAATGTCAGCATATTTGTTTAGGAAAGGCTTCCAGTGAGCATGTGGAAACCTTTATCATCTGTCTGGTTATGGCAAAAGAATTCCAGGGTGATGTGGGAAGAAGAGGAGGCAGAAAAAAATTTACATCTGATCAGGAGAGAAGGCTGTTTACAAATGAAGGTCAGCACTGAGGATTGAGAGAATTCCTTCTACACAGAAATGTCCCTGGCAGGACTTGCCACTCCTCCATGGGCACAAGGACAAATATCTTCTGGATAAGGGCAGTGTTGGTGGCAGAGTCAGTGTTTTTTGGGACTGGCATGAGTGAACTAATCTTGTAGATCTCAAAGGATTGAGTGGCTGGAAAGCTGCCTGACAGAAAGGGACCTTGGTGTACTGATGGACAGGCAGCTGAATGTGAGCCAGCAGTGTGCCCAGGTGGCCAAGAAGGCCGATGGCATCCTGGCTGGTATCAGGAATGGTGTGGTGAGCAGGACTGGGGAAGTCATCCTGCCCCTGTACTGGGCTTTGTTGAGGCCAGTTCTCGAGTTCTGTGTTCAGTTTTGGGCAACTCAATACAGAAGGAACATGGAGGTGCTGGAGCAGGTCCAAAGAAGGGCAACAAGGCTGGGGAAGGGCTTGGAGAATGTGCTCTACGAGGAGAGACTGAAGGAACTGCAGATGTTTGGTCTGGGGAAAAGAATGTTGAGGGGAAACCTTATTGCTCTCTTCCAATATCTGAAAGGTGATTGCAGCGAGAGTGGGGTTGATCTCTTCTCACTGCTGACAGGACGAGAGGATACATATTTGCCTTTGTGATGGCAATAGAAGACAGATTGGATGGACTTTGAGGTCAGGAGAAGGAGGAGGATGTTTGGAAGAGCCCTTCAGTTTCAGCCCAGCCTCATCCCATGCAACCAGCATGGTATCTTCCACTCTTTCTGTGGGGTGAGAAGGTCTCTCCTCACCCTTCTGTTGCCTCTCCATGACCTGACATGATCAGGCTAATCCTTGGGGACCAGTGTTGGTTCTCAAGCATCTGGGTGGGCTTTTTGTTAAGGAAGGCAATGCTGTGTGAATACAAGATCCAGCTATGTTGACCTTACATTTGGCTCAGGGACAAGACTCTCTGTCCAACCATGTAAGTACACTGCTTCCAGAGGTCTACCAAAGGTGCCATTTCCAATAGATGTAATTTTGTGTTTCACTTTTGGATTTAAACATGACAAGGCTAATATCCCTCACCAGCCATTGCAGGCACCGAGAATGCCCTCACTGCTGCAGCCATGAGCTGCACTGAAGTTCAGAAGTGCTTAATTTTTTCTCGATTTGAGCTGTGTTGCAAAAGAAGGTCAGTGGTGCAGATGGAGAGAAGAGCATTCTTCTCAACAGGAACATCCCAGGCAGGAATTGCTGCTCCTGAATGATCTCAAGCAAAATTCTCTTCTGAACAAGAGCAGTTCCTCTTTCTCAGCTTCACCTCCTCTTCGTCTAGATGTCGATCTGTGCCTGTTTTACCAGGAATGTGCACCAGTGAATGGGGACAGTGCTGCCACTGAAGTTGCGGCGTGGGCTTTTTGTCAGGGAAGGAAATACTGTGTGATTCTGGCTATGGCTACCAGCTGACCTTTGGCTCAGGGACCAGACTCATTGTCCAACCACGTGAGTGCAATGCAGTTTCCATAGGTCTATCATAGCTGTTTTTTGTGACAGATTTGTGTGCATCCTTTTGTTTGTGTTCCTCCTTTTGATCTTAAATTCTTGGAGCTGAAATTTTCTTATCTGCCATAGTAGGCTCTGACAGCATCCTCACTGCAGAAGTCAAGGACGTGCTGTGAGCAGAGCTGAACTGGGGGTCTGAGTGCTTTTCAGAAGGAATCTCCCGTGTACGTGGACAGTTCTCTGCTGTCACACTGTCATTCGCACATCTTGCCAGGTGTTTGCCTTTGTGATGGTAACACAGAGGACAGTTTGAATGGACTTTGAGGTCAGGAGAAGGAGAAGAATGTTTGGAAGTGCCCCTCAGTTTCAGCCCAGCCTCATCCCATACAACCAGCATGGTAATTTCCACTCTTGCTTTGGGGTGAGAAGGATCCTCCTCACCCTTCTGCTGCCTCTCTGTGACCTGCCATGGTCAGACTAATCCTTGGGGACCAGCGTTAGTTCTCAAGTGACTGCATGGGCTTTGGAAGGAAGGCAATGCTGTGTGAATACAGGATCTGCTGTCAGAGAGCTGAGCTTTGGCACAGGGACCAGACTTTCTGGGCAACCCCGTGAGCACACTGCTTCCATTGGTCTTTTATAGGAGCCTTTTCCAATAGATGTAATTTTATGTTTCAGCACTGGATTT